CAGGAATGCTCCTGCGTGGGGCTGAATGCAGTGAAGAGACTGAGTCCAGGGAGAGCCGGTTGAGTAGGAAGATCAGACTAGTGACTCAGCTTTAGTGGGTGCTGAGGATCTGCTGCTTGAGCTGAAAGGCAGGAAGGAGCCACTGTGAGTTGCGGCGTGAAGTAGTAAAAACAGGCCCCCTCCAGTGTCTGAATGCCACGGGAGGAAGGCTTTAGCGGCAAAGAAGTCACCTCCCGAACTAGTGAGTCATTTTGACATGAGATGCTTAGGAAAGGGTCCGTTCAACTGAGACCTAAATATCTGCTGGAGCCTGGTTTGAATGCTGGTAAGTGGTAACAATGGAAGACTGCTGGCGTTTATTAGCCTGGGGCAGTCACTTTTTCTTGTGTAGTGAGTTTCTTGAAATGTTCTCTTCAAATCTGAAGATCTTAGAGAATAAGATACTTAATTTTATTTATTTATTTTTTTTATTTATTTATTTTTTAACATCTTTATTGGGGTATAATTGCTTTACAATGGTGTGTTAGTTTCTGCTTTATACTTAATTTTAAATACTAGAAAAATGTATTCTTAAGCCAGGCAAACATTATTTTTGGATTTTCTAGTATTGGGCATTACCTCAGGTTTTGTCCCTCCAAATAATTAGGAGTTGACTATATATAAAGTGGTTCATTCTTCATTCAGGAAAATCTCGGTGATGTTAAAGTTTTATTCATGTTTTGAAAATTCTTCGATGTTTAAAACAGAATTCAGTTTGAGAACAGTGAAGATGAAGAAGTAAACCCACTGAAGCTCGGCCTTCTCACCTGGGTTCAGGAGGACGTTTTCCTGGCTGTGAGCCACAGTCAGTCCAGCCCACAGTCTGTCATTCACCATCTGACTGTGGCCCCTTCTGTGATGGATGACGAGCAGGGACAGCTCAACATTAGGTATTCCAACAATTCGCTGTATTCCATGTGTTAATAAGCAGATAGAGTTAGGCTTCTTTTATGAGCATGGGACTTTTTTTTTTTTTTTTACTTCCAGTGAGCAGGGTTGAGGGGCAGTGGCTTCCTTTTTAGACATACTTTAGCAAGAGGGTTAAGTCGAGTTTTTAGTCATGTCAAAATATAGACTAAAATACATCAAGAAGTGGTGAAAAATAGCACAAATGCCAAGAGATGAGGCAAAACATTTTTAAGGTGTGTTAAAATTTTTCATTCACCTTATATTCCAGCAGAGTAATTATTAGCCTATGAGAATTAGCCACTCTAATTACCCTTGTTAGTTATTAAAATCGATTATGAGATCTATATACGTGCACTTCATTTTGATTTAGTGACTTCAAAATACTTCTTCCGGCCTCCTATACATTTTGTTTGGCACTTGATTGTATTTATTACTAGAAAGCCTCTTCTGTTTTTCTTTGCTAAAATTTCATAGCTCCCTGGCCCTGAGTTTCATTTTGATTCCTGACTGCATCTTTGTCACGTAACAGGTTTCATTAATGAATGTTGTTTTCTGTATCTCAAGCCCTATTGTGCACCAGGTAGCGTCGTGGGGACAGCTCCGAGAAATCCTCAGGTTTCCAGTGTCAAAACTCGGCACCTTCGACATACATTGATAGTAATCCCCAGACTCACATGTAATTAAAGTTCTGCTGGTTAGCTTTAAATTCTGAAAACCACTGTTGCAAAATTAGGAACCTTTCTTTATTATATACATGAAGCATATTCCAAATGCAGCCATTAACTTCTAATCTTTGAATGATACTGCTTCATATTTTTTTAAAAATATTTATTTATTTATGATTTATTTTGGCGGCGCCAGGTCTTAGTTGTGGCACGCAGGATCTTTTTTAGTTGCGTCATGCGGGATCTAGTTCCCCAACCAGGTATCGAACCCGGGCTCCCTGCGTTGGGAGCGTGGAGTCTTAACCGCTGGCCCACCAGGGAAGTCCCAATAATGCTTCATATTTTTAAAGGTTTTGTGAATATGTCTGGATGCAGAATATGTTCTAGCTGCATGCAGACCTAACAGGGGCTTCCTTTGGAAAACAGCAGTTTACATTAGAAATGCCTAAATTATGCATGTTTCTGCTACTTCAAATTTGAAATTTTTTATCATTATCTTGTAAAAGGTAAATGCCATCATCTCATTTGCTATAAAGGAAGTGAGAAGTCATTTAAAATATATTTCTGCTGCTTTGACTTTTGTTTCTCAAAAATGACTATTTTGTTCATACAAAATGTTAATGTCTTTGACAAATATAAAGTCCCCCAATCAGCTTACAGCTTACATTTACTATAGCTTGTGCTTTGTAAAAGGTACTCTTTTAAGTGCTTTTCCTATATTAACTCACTTATTTCTCCCAACACCTCTCTGAAGTATGTACTGTTGGCGCCCTCATTTTACAGCTGAGACAGCTGAGGCACAGGGCAGTTTAAGTAACTTGCCTGAGATAATGCAGGTGGAGCCAGGATCCAGTCCCAGTCATTGCACCTCCAGAGTCTATTCCCTTAACTTCTCAGATAACTTATCCTCCCCAAATTTGTGGAATCTTGGGGGGTTTGGTAGATTTGTTTAAAACTCTTTGAATAAATGTTAGCATTGGCACCATTTGCTTTTATCATACCTCTTCCACTTCCTTTAAGACATGTCTACTCTTGGTTCATTGACTCAGGAAAAAATATAATGGCAATAACAGATTCCCCTCTTCCCATTAAGGGAGACCCACAGATTTCTATGAATGAATATAATAGCAATATAGGTATTAAGTGTGCTCACTTTCCTACAGATTCACTGCTTTATTTAATGCAGTAAATTGAAATAAGTTGCAATAAGTTATATAAAGCTGCTGCCAGAATAGGAGTGATGACCTCACAATGTAGACACCTACTTACTGACATTGTGGAAAATAATGTCATGTGACAGGTAATTGCTTTACCTGGGCTTGCGCTTGCAATAGTTTATCTATTAGTGTGTGTATACATATGTGTGTGCATTTATTATGTCTATGTTATATTGAAATAGGCAGTGCAGCACCAAAGGAAAATTGCTTCTTTTTCTGTTTTGCAAAATCAATGAAATGTCACTACTTTTGAGAAAAACAGTCTTTTCACACCTCCTTCACTTCCTTTTTTTTTAAATTTTACTCTTGTCAGTTCATCTGTGACAGTGGATGGGGTCATAATCAGTCTTTGTTGCAACTCCAAGACCAAGTCAGTAGCACTGCAGGTGGCTGATGGTCAGATACTTAAGTACCTTTGGGGTGAGTATCAAAATGTTAGGAAGGCGGGGGCTTCCCTGGTGGCGCAGTGGTTGAGAGTCCGCCTGCCGATGCAGGGGACACGGGTTCATGACCTGGTCCGGGAGGATCCCACATGCCACGGAGCGGCTGGGCCCGTGATCCATGGCCACTGAGCCTGTGCGTCAGGAGCCTCTGCTCCACGGCGGGAGGGGCCACAGTGGTGAGAGGCCCGCGAAAAAAAAAAAAAAAAAAAATGTGAGGAAAGCATGTTTATGACTTACGTAGATATTTAATTCTTGAGCACATATACTTGTATCTTATCAGTGTTGTGGTGATTATTAGGTCTTTTAACTACCCTGAAAAACCCTAATCTATAGACTGGAATTAGCAGGTGTGTTCTCCCTGTATTTTCTCTTGTAATGAACTGGAGTACTTTACTGAGTTTCCAAAACACATTTGGAAAGTGATTTAAATTGCATGTTAAGTATTTTAGCAAGTATTAATGTAACAGTTTTTTTTTTTTACAAAGAGCAGAACAGCTCTTGGTAAACCTCATCTGCCAATCCTGCAGAATCACCCTCTCTGGCTGTTGAACCATGGAAGAACCCTGGTGGATTTCCTGTTCGATTTCCTTATCCGTGCACACAGACCGAACTGGCCATGGTTGGAGGAGAGGTAAGTAAACACAAGGCAGAAAAACTTACCACTTAGAGCAGTGACCCAGGAACTCATAGCATTAAGTAGAAAGAGT